CAGAGCCGGGGAATAGAATCATTTGGGACGCCTCCTGATCCAGATGGGTTTCCAGACTGACCCATGTAGTTCTGCTCGTCCTGGGGGCCCTATGATGCATGTGCCCCGTCTCCGATGGTGTCACATCACCATCAGGACCCTGTGCCGTGGAAAGAGGGGCTTCCTCCAGCCTGAGGCTCTCCAGAACTCACTCTCGGAACCCGGCCAGCACAGCCTCCCGCAACAGCTCCTCTCCACATCAGGCTTCCGTCAGAATATGGATCCAGAAAGGGCCCAGGAGAACAACAGCACAGGACAGCATGACTGGACGGTATGATGACCACTGCTGGGAACCAAACATCCTCCAGAAAGAAGGCTTGATGATTTTTCTCTGGTTCAAAGAAGCACCGAGTCTCCAGTTCGCTCCAGAAAATGGATCCTCTGCAGTGACTTCACTTGTTCTCACACAGATTTGTTGGGCTCTGCAGCCCTCTGGGTCTGAGTGAAGTCTGCAGGAAAAAACATTCTGTTGTTGGCATTCACATGAAAGATAACAAAGAGCATCCTTGACGGATGGGATGTTGTACTATCTGTTTGGTGCTGTTTCACACAGTATAAAGGAATGTGTCTGCATATTTCATTCTGTTTTTCTGTCCTGCAGAGTTGACTTTGGGTGGCTCAGGTAACTTCAGCAAGAGTCACAAAGTCAGCTGCTTAAACACTGCACGTGTGCATGATGAATGTAAAGCACAGTCGGATGAAATACACAAACTGATTCTTGAACTGCATTGCAGGTTACAGTCTGCAGACTTTAGCTGTTTTGCTGTATGTGAAAATGTCCTCTTATATTCTGGTTGTCTTAGAACCTGCAGCGTGCAGAACATAGCTGTGCACAGCAAACACACAGACATGTTCCATGCTGGTAACAAACAGCATCTGTTTGTTAGCGCTAAACCTTGATGTGGAGCCTGCATGCATTTGTATTGTGCATGCTTTTAGGTCATCACAGTGGCCATATCAGACACACAACACACACCTGCTGTCCCACTGAACGAGAAAAACCTTCCTTATCTGACCAGCCTTCAGTTCCTGAGTCCTTATGAGAGAAGTACCTCCACACTGTTAGTTTTGGTTCAAGGACATTTTATCACCACATGTTCACAAGAGTTTTTAACTAATCGGGTAATGAGTAAATCAATATTATATCAAGGTCAACTCGCTGTTTTTGGAGCTTTAAACTACATTTCATAGTATTCACAGTGAGATGGAGTTCACACTCACACAACAAGTATGTTTTGTTGTCACAAGAACATTTATAAAGAAGTGTTACATGCACACTTTCAAAAGTTAGCTTCTCTTTGATATGTATAACTAATGGACTTTAAAACAGCATGTGCTGCAGTTTCAAGGAGGAAATGTCTACTCATTTTACTCATGATGTGTCTTCGAGCAAATAAAACACTCCACGTGGACATGTTAATCAGATTAAAAAATAGATTTTCAACAGAGAGGTTCTGTGAAGGTGCGCCAACGAATATTTTTATATTTGCAATGGGCCCCAATGAGCCCCTCAGTCTGTCTGTAAGGCTGGGGTTAACCGGAACCCTCTGCCTTCATTTCATCACATTGTTTGGGGTTTGCAGCACCAATATTTTTATTCTGGCTTCTTGTCGTAGATACCCAGGGCTTATTTTTACATGCTTTTATTTTTACATGGCTTTTCTCCTCATTTTTCCTGATGACTTAAAACGGAATTCTCTGGGCTTAGACAACTACGACTTGTTGTTTGAATTCTTTTAAAGATTAATTTACTCCTCAGTTCCTCAGTTACTTTACAATGCAGCAGATCAAACAGTTTCTTTCTATGAACTCTGACTCTGAGTATTTTTACTTGGTCACACTTTTTAAATGAAACTAAGGTGTGGTCCTGCCTCCGTTCCTGAACCGACCCGTCCAGCACATCATCACAGTGACTCATCCTGCAGCAGCCTATATTATCCATCCATCCATTTTCTATACACCGCTTAATCCTCACCAGGGTCGCGGGGGGGCTGGAGCCTATACCAGCCGACTTAGGGCGAAGGCAGGGGACACCCTGGACAGGTCGCCAGTCCATCGCAGGGC